GACACGTCATCTTATTAGGTATAGTACCGTTATGATACAGTGATGACCGCATCCTCTAAAGGAGTCAATCCCAAATTGTCGAAGAGCTGTTTTTGTATAAGGGTATCCTCCCTGTTGACATGACTAAAATAGCGTCCTACATTTACCGGTAGAAACAACAGAACAATTCTAAATACACCCAGGTGTATATATTTCTGAGATATAATTATATATAGTTTCTGGATTCGCTTAAGCGCCACTTCCGAACAGGCTGGTAGCATCGCCTACTTCGTGTTCATCATATTGTTGATGCATCACCTCACAACAACATCGTGAAGACAATGGCAGCCGGTGATCTGACAAGTTCCACTATTTTGAGATTGTACTGCACCACACAATGTTTATGAAAAAAACGTTCTATGTCTCGGTTACGTTTATCCACTTCATTTACAATGTCTACACTCTTTGTACAAGATGCTGTGCAGCCAGGTTATTCAGGATAAAGGTCCATATTGAGCAAGCCTGTCTCCCTTCACGTCATGCCTGATAATACCAGGCTATATAGATTGTGTCACTTATTTACCAAGAATGCTATTCCGGAGGAATATTCAGTTTTATTATCATTGGAACATACAGGTTTATATATAAACTCTTGGAAATCAAATTCATAAAACCGGTTGAGTAAATTATACAGCTCATCTTTGGACTTTTGTATTATATATACCTGCACTGTTTTTTTTACCGCGTCAAAAAGTCATTTCAAATCCATGACAGAATTATTCATCCCAATCGCGTGAGAAATTTAACGATGCATATAGTTGCGCCAATTACGCAGGTGCGAAATTTAAGATATTCTTAGCAGGTGATCTGAGGCTATCGACTTGCCAATACAGCAAGGTCATAAACGATCCCAACCTCGTGACTTCCGGTCAGTTTGTGGTCAAGCCTGTGCGACATTCGGCATGAGTTAGGAGCGACCACTGATAATGTAAACACATTTAGACGCACATTAAAGTGTCGCCGCACTCAGGCAAATTTAGCTGATATTAAGACATCGGGTAATTCATTTATTCAGTAATTCAATTTGATACAGTTACTAATCTATTTTCATTTCTAATTCATATTGTTCCAAATTTTAAAATAATAAACAACGAATTAACAACATGCCTCAACTGTACAGAGACGTTGTCAACATGTTGATCAACAATGTCATTATGTAAACTATCTCCACTGTTCTTTTAAACGGAAGACTTGAGGATTTCCGGGTTTTTTACTATATACAAATCCGGAACATGTATTTTTGCTGCATATGTTGTAGCAATATTTGTTGTGTCTTGGTTTGTTTGCAACAACATGGTTTGTGGGGAGGTGATGGGTATTAATTGATTGCTGCTTCGGTAATCACACACACACACACACACACACACACACACACACACACACACACACACACACACACACACACACATTTCATGAGGTACATACACATGTAACGTGAATACAATGATATATTCTGGATATATTCTGGTGTCCTCCTGTCAAGGCCAGCTATACATAGTGCTGACTGGCACAATTTCAAGCAATATTTCTAACATCGCAGTATGCGAGTATATAACACCACGTCACTTCACATCTACATAGAGTATGTATGTATCGGTTAGTCGAATCTTGGTTTACTTATTAAATTACTCCTTGTGTAGCCTTGTATTTAGGACATTTATCTTCTAAACCAAATACACGAATTATCAGAAACAAATACCACACATTCTACCTTTCTGCAGTAACTAAGTTATTATTATGAACAACTAAACCGTTATATACCGCGTTACCGAGTCACCATGTTACCTGGATGGGCTCAGGACAGTTAGAGGATGAGGCTGACAAGCAGACACTGCAGCCATGCGTGCATCCCAACTGGGCATAATGTACAACTGGTACGCGCAGTCCACTTCTGCATTCAATTGTGTGATCACTTATAATACCATTTAAGGAGTCAGAAATTACTAACACAATAGTAACAATCTTTTTCGTCAATGCAGAGAGAGAGGCCAAATTTTCTTAAACTTAAAATTGGGCGTTTTGAAACAAAGAATGTTTAGTGACCAATGTAAAGCCAAGTGCTTATGTATTTACGATTACATCTAGGGTTTATGGAAATAGTAATCGTTTATAATTATAAGAATCGTGATTAGAGATACACATTGAGGGGATAACTGGAGAGCGTACACTTCAAAATTGGATTTGACCTAAATAATACAAACGTTATCAAAACGTTACTAGTCTGAGTTGCCGAAACACTGCAAACCCGGGGTCCAAAACACAACTATGATACCCGTATCAAATACAGCACTATTAAATAGCCATTTCTTGTTTATTTTTAGCCACTATCAAACATGGGTGTATACTTTCATTCTCAATCCAGTCTCTGCAAGAATATAGTTAAGGAAATTCTAGCATGCCGTGTTTAATGTTTAGATTCCAAAGGAATTCCTGGCCGCCAAGGCGAACCCAAAATTTTGCTGTACCCCGCTACTGCTCGTTGACTTGATTATGGCAGGGTGCTTTACATTTTGAATATCAATTTTAACATTGATGGAGGGGTCGTGTTTATAATAAAGACTAGCAGTTGGTAAAGTTGGTCCAGAGTGACATACTACTGCAGGGATTACGGAATAAGCTCTTCTGTTTTGTTAGGATATTGGGAGAAAGTATCACCCCTATCTTATTCACGCCGTAGTGTTAGTAAATATATACTGCGAACACAACACAAGGGAGCCAGACACTGTGTGTGTGTGTGTGTGTGTGTGTGTGTGTGTGTGTGTGTGTGTGTGTGTGTGTGTGTGTGTGTGTGTGTGTGTGTGTTGTTGTTGTTGTTGTTGTTTTTGTTGTTGCTGTGTGTTTGTTGTTGTTGTTTTTGGGGGGGGTTTCCGTGAGGTTGCAAAGTTCTGCGTGACAATGGGCATTGTCGACAGCAGGCGGGTGTTACAGCACTACATTTCAATGTGACCGTCATACATTGATCATACATAGTGTATTCAGCCCCGTCATTGACATCTGTACAATGTGACTAGCAGAGTACACTTGTGATTGTGCGGCGTGACAAGCGGAGAAACTATTTTATGTAACAAACACGATTCGCTTTCAAAAGATGACATTGTCCATTCTGCGGAACGCAAGCTGCCGTGGTCATTTTACAAACGCTTCAAACGATCCCGACATGACGTAGCAGATAATGTACACACTAGGATATGTGAGGCCTTCAACGTGTGTATTATCATAGAGCCAGGAACAGGAACATAATAATCATAGTACAGTCGTTCAAGGTAAGACAGTGTTTGGTTGTGTTTTGTTCGACTTCGGTTCTCCGCCACTTTCGCCTATATAACCAAAACCGCAGACCCCCACATACCCCAAGTGCAGTTGACAGGCAGAACACGTACATGTCGCCCGCGGTTGTTCCACACGTCTGAAACCGAAGAGGTGGAAATATCATTATGTGAAAGAATGTAACATTCACGGATTGCAACAGTTGACAATGTGATGTTATTAACTGACGTGTGTAACAATGTGATGTTATTAACTGACGTGTGTAACAATGTGATGTTATTAACTGACGTGTGTAACAATGTGATGTTATTAACTGACGTGTGTAACAATGTGATGTTATTAACTGACGTGTGTAACAATGTGATGGTATTAACTGACGTGAATAACAATGTGATGTTATTAACTTATGTGTGTAACAATGTGATGTTATTAATTGATGTGTGTGTAACAATTTGACGTTAACAACTGATGTGTGTGCATCAATGTGATGGGTATCCAATGTCAATACAGTTAATCTGTTCCCTTTGTCCTCAAGAAGACTGATCTTACAACTTCTAAACAAAAAACACTGAATGGTTGAAATAGAATGCTTCTTTCATGAATCAGAAAATTGTTTATATTAACAAAGCATACACAACATGTCAAATCATAATCCTTTTACCGGTAACATTTTCAATGATCAAGTTCTAGTTGTGTACGGCTGGCCGGTATAGGGTGTCGGATGTATACGGCTGGCCGGTACAGGGTGTCGGATGTGTACGGCTGGCCGGTACAGGGTGTCGGATGTGTACAGCTGGGTGGTACAGGGTGTCGGATGTATATGGCTGGGCGTACAGGGTGGGAACAACGTGTCGGATGTATACGGCTGGCTGGTACAGGGTGTCGGATGTATACGGCTGGGCGTACAGGGTGGTAACAAGGTGTTGGATGTATACGGCTGCCCGGTACAGGGTGTCGGATGTATACGACTGGGTGGTACAGGGTGTCGGATGTATACGATTGGGTGGTACAGGGTGTGGGATGTATACGACTGGGTGGTACAGGGTGTCGGATGTATACGACTGGGTGGTACAGGGTGTCGGATGTATACGACTGGGTGGTACAGGATGTGGGATGTATACGACTGGGTGGTACAGGGTGTCGGATGTATACGGCTGGGCGTACAGGGTGGGAAGAAGGTGTCGGATGTATACGGCTGGCCGGTACAGGGTGTCGGATGTATACGGCTGGGTGGTACAGGGTGTCGGATGTATACGTCTGGCCGGTACAGGGTGTCGGATGTATACGGCTGGGCGTACAGGGTGGGAACAAGGTGTCGGATGTATACGGCTGCCCAGTACAGGGTGTCGGATGTATACGACTGGGTGGTACAGGGTGTCGGATGTATACGACTGGGTGGTACAGGGTGTCGGATGTATACGACTGGGTGGTACAGGGTGTGGGATGTATACGACGGGGTGGTACAGGGTGTCGGATGTATACGGCTGGGCGTACAGGGTGGGAACAAGGTGTCGGATGTATACGGCTGCCCGGTACAGGGTGTGGGATGTATACGACTGGGTGGTACAGGGTGTCGGATGTATACGACTGGGTGGTACAGGGTGTGGGATGTATACGACTGGGTGGTACAGGGTGTCGGATGTATACGACTGGGTGGTACAGGGTGTCGGATGTATACGACTGGATGGTACAGGATGTGGGATGTATACGACTGGGTGGTACAGGGTGTCGGATGTATACGGCTGGGCGTACAGGGTGGGAAGAAGGTGTCGGATGTATACGGCTGGCCGGTACAGGGTGTCGGATGTATACGGCTGGGTGGTACAGGGTGTGGGATGTATACGTCTGGCCGGTACAGGGTGTCGGATGTATACGACTGGGCGTACAGGGTGGGAACAAGGTGTCGGATGTATACGGCTGCCCAGTACAGGGTGTCGGATGTATACGACTGGGTGGTACAGGGTGTCGGATGTATACGACTGGGTGGTACAGGGTGTCGGATGTATACGACTGGGTGGTACAGGGTGTGGGATGTATACGACGGGGTGGTACAGGGTGTCGGATGTATACGGCTGGGCGTACAGGGTGGGAACAAGGTGTCGGATGTATACGGCTGCCCGGTACAGGGTGTGGGATGTATACGACTGGGTGGTACAGGGTGTCGGATGTATACGACTGGGTGGTACAGGGTGTGGGATGTATACGACTGGGTGGTACAGGGTGTCGGATGTATACGACTGGGTGGGAACAAGGTGTCGGATGTATACGGCTGGGTAGTACAGGGTGCCGGATGTATACGACTGGGCGTACAGGGTGTGGGATGTATACGACTGGGTGGTACAGGGTTTCGGATGTATACGACTGGGTGGTACAGGGTGTGGGATGTATACGACTGGGTGGTACAGGGTGTCGGATGTATACGGCAGGGCGTACAGGGTGGGAACAAGGTGTCGGATGTATACGGCTGGGTGGTACAGGGTGTGGGATGTATACGACTGGGTGGTACAGGGTGTCGGATGTATACGACTGGGTGGTACAGGGTGTCGGATGTATACGACTGGGTGGTACAGGGTGTGGGATGTATACGACGGGGTGGTACAGGGTGTCGGATGTATACGGCTGGGCGTACAGGGTGGGAACAAGGTGTCGAATGTATACGGCTGCCCGGTACAGGGTGTCGGATGTATACGACTGGGTGGTACAGGGTGTCGGATGTATACGACTGGGTGGTACAGGGTGTCGGATGTATACGACTGGGGGGTACAGGGTGTGGGATGTATACGACTGGGTGGTACAGGGTGTCGGATGTATACGGCTGGGCGTACAGGGTGGGAACAAGGTGTCGGATGTATACGGCTGGCCGGTACAGGGTGTCGGATGTATACGGCTGGGTGGTACAGGGTGTCGGATGTATACGGCTGGGCGTACAGGGTGGGAACAAGGTGTCGGATGTATACGGCTGCCCGGTACAGGGTGTCGGATGTATACGACTGGGTGGTACAGGGTGTCGGATGTATACGACTGGGTGGTACAGGGTGTCGGATGTATACGACTGGGTGGTACAGGGTGTGGGATGTATACGACTGGGTGGTACAGGGTGTCGGATGTATACGGCTGGGCGTACAGGGTGGGAAGAAGGTGTCGGATGTATACGGCTGGCCGGTACAGGGTGTCGGATGTATACGGCTGGGTGGTACAGGGTGTCGGATGTATACGTCTGGCCGGTACAGGGTGTCGGATGTATACGGTTGGGCGTACAGGGTGTGGGATGTATACGACTGGGTGGTACAGGGTGTCGGATGTATACGACTGGGTGGTACAGGGTGTGGGATGTATACGACTGGGTGGTACAGGGTGTCGGATGTACACGGCTGGGCGTACAGGGTGGGAACAAGGTGTCGGATGTATACGGCTGGCCGGTACAGGGTGTCGGATGTATACGGCTGGGTGGTACAGGGTGTCGGATGTATACGACTGGGCGTACAGGGTGGGAACAAGGTGTCGGATGTATACGGCTGCCCGGTACAGGGTGTCGGATGTATACGACTGGGTGGTACAGGGTGTCGGATGTATACGACTGGGTGGTACAGGGTGTCGGATGTATACGACTGGGTGGTACAGGGTGTGGGATGTATACGACTGGGTGGTACAGGGTGTCGGATGTATACGGCTGGGCGTACAGGGTGGGAAGAAGGTGTCGGATGTATACGGCTGGCCGGTACAGGGTGTCGGATGTATACGGCTGGGTGGTACAGGGTGTCGGATGTATACGTCTGGCCGGTACAGGGTGTCGGATGTATACGGCTGGGCGTACAGGGTGTCGGATGTATACGGCTGGGCGTACAGGGTGGGAAGAAGGTGTCGGATGTATACGGCTGCCCGGTACAGGGTGTCGGATGTATACGACTGGGTGGTACAGGGTGTCGGATGTATACGACTGGGTGGTACAGGGTGTGGGATGTATACGACTGGGTGGTTCAGGGTGTCGGATGTATACGACTGGGCGTACAGGGTGTGGGATGTATACGACTGGGTGGTACAGGGTGTCGGATGTATACGACTGGGTGGTACAGGGTGTGGGATGTATACGACTGGGTGGTACAGGGTGTCGGATGTATATGACTGGGCGTACAGGGTGGGAACAAGGTGTCGGATGTATACGGCTGGGTGGTACAGGGTGTCGGATGTATACGACTGGGCGTACAGGGTGTGGGATGTATACGACTGGGTGGTACAGGGTTTCGGATGTATACGACTGGGTGGTAAAGGGTGTGGGATGTATACGACTGGGTGGTACAGGGTGTCGGATGTATACGGCAGGGCGTACAGGGTGGGAACAAGGTGTCGGATGTATACGGCTGGGTTGTACAGGGTGTCGGATGTATACGACTGGGTGGTACAGGGTGTGGGATGTATACGACTGGGTGGTACAGGGTGTCGGATGTATACGACTGGGTGGTACAGGGTGTGGGATGTATACGACTGGGTGGTACAGGGTGTCGGTTGTATACGGCTGGGCGTACAGGGTTGGAACAAGGTGTCGGATGTATACGACTGGGTGGTACAGGGTGTCGGATGTATACGACTGGGTGGTACAGGGTGTCGGATGTATACGACTGGGTGGTACATGGTGGCGGATGTATACGACTGGGTGGTACAGGGTGTCGGATGTATACGACTGGGTAGTACAGGGTGTCGGATGTATACGGCTGGCCGGTACAGTTTGTCGGATGTATACGGCTGGGCGAACAGGGTGGGAACAAGGTGTCGGATGTATACCGCTGGGTGGTACAGGGTGTCGGTTGTGTACGGCTGGGTGGTACAGGGTGTCGGTTGTATAGAGCTGGGTGGTACAGGGTGTCGGTTGTATAGAGCTGGGTAGTACAGGGTGTCGGTTGTGTACGGCTGGGTGGTATAGGGTGTGGGATGTATACGACTGGGTGGTACAGGGTGTTGGATGTTGCGACTGGGTGGTACAGGGTGTCGGTTGTGTACGGCTGGGTGGTACAGGGTGTCGGTTGTATAGAGCTGGCCGGTACAGGGTGTGGGATGTATACGACTGGGTGGTACAGGTCGTGGGATGTATACGACTGGGTGGTACAGGGTGTTGGATGTTGCGACTGGGTGGTACAGGGTGTCGGATGAATACGGCTGGCCGGTACAGGGTGTCGGATGTATACGACTGGGCGTACAGGGTGGGAACAAGGTGTCGGATGTATACGACTGGCCGGTACAGGGTGTCGGATGTATACGACTGGGTGGTACAGGGTGTGGGATGTATACGACTGGGTGGTACAGGGTGGGAACAAGGTGTCGGATGTATACGGCTGGCCGATACAGGGTGTCGGATGTATACGGTTGGGCGTACAGGGTGGGAACAAGGTGTCGGATGTATACGGCTGGCCGGTACAGGGTGTCGGATGTATACGGCTGGCCGGTACAGGGTGTCGGATGTATACGACTGGGTGGTACAGGGTGTCGGATGTAAACGGCTGGGCGTACAGGGTGGGAACAAGGTGTCGGATTTATACGACTGGCCGGTACAGGGTGTCGGATGAATACGGCTGGCCGGTACAGGGTGTCGAATGTATACGACTGGGCGTAAAGGGTGGGAACAAGGTGTCGGATGTATACGGCTGGCCGGTACAGGGTGTCGGATGTATACGACTGGGTGGTACAGGGTGTGGGATGTATACGACTGGGTGGTACAGCGTGGGAACAAGGTGTCGGATGTATACGGCTGGCCGGTACAGGGTGTCGGATGTATACGGTTGGGCGTACAGGGTGGGAACAAGGTGTCGGATGTTTACGGCTGGCCGGTACAGGGTGTCGGATGTATACGGCTGGCCGGTACAGGGTGTCGGATGTATACGACTGGGTGGTACAGGGTGTCGGATGTATACGGCTGGGCGTACAGGGTGGGAACAAGGTGTCGGATTTATACGACTGGCCGGTACAGGGTGTCGGATGTATACGACTGGGTGGTACAGGGTGTCGGATGTATACGGCTGGGCGTACAGGGTGGGAACAAGGTGTCGGATGTATACGACTGGGTGGTACAGGGTGTCGGATGTATACGGCTGGGCGTACAGGGTGGGAACAAGGTGTCGGATGTATACGACTGGCCGGTACAGGGTGGGAACAAGGTGTCGGATGTATACGGCTGGCAGGTACAGGGTGTCGGATGTATACGGTTGGGCGTACAGGGTGGGAACAAGGTGTCGGATGTTTACGGCTGGCCGGTACAGGGTGTCGGATGTATACGGCTGGCCGGTACAGGGTGTCGGATGTATACGACTGGGTGGTACAGGGTGTCGGATGTATACGGCTGGGCGTACAGGGTGGGAACAAGGTGTCGGATTTATACGACTGGCCGGTACAGGGTGTCGGATGTATACGACTGGGTGGTACAGGGTGTCGGATGTATACGGCTGGGCGTACAGGGTGGGAACAAGGTGTCGGATGTATACGACTGGCCGGTACAGGGTGTCGGATGTATACGACTTGGTGGTACAGGGTGTCGGATGTATACAACTGGGTGGTACAGGGTGTCGGATGTATACGACTGGGTGGTACAGGGTGTCGGATGTATACGACACTGTGGTACAGGGTGTCGGATGTATACGGCTGGGCGTACAGGGTGGGAACAAGGTGTCGGATGTATACGACTGGGTGGTACAGGGTGTGGGATGTATACGACTGGGTGGTACAGGGTGTCGGTTGTATACGGCTGGGTGGTACAGGGTGTCGGTTGTATAGAACTGGGTGGTACAGGGTGTCGGTTGTTTAGAGCTGGGTGGTACAGGGTGTCGGTTGTGTACGGCTGGGTGGTACAAGGTGTCGGATGTATACGACTGGGTGGTACAGGGTGTCGGATGTATACGACTGGGCGTACAGGGTGGGAAGAAGGTGTCGGATGTATACGGCTGCCCGGTACAGGGTGTGGGATGTATACGACTGGGTGGTACAGGGTGTCGGATGTATACGACTGGGCGAACAGGGTGTCGGAAGTATACGACTGGGTGGTACAGGGTGTCGGATGTATACGACTGGGTGGTACAGAGTGTCGGATGTATACGACTGGGCGTACAGGGTGTCGGATGTATACGACTGGGTGGTACAGGGTGTCGGATGTATACGGCTGGGTGGTACAGGGTGTCGGATGTATACGACTGGGTGGTACAGGGTGTCGGATGTATACGACTGGGTGGTACAGGGTGTCGGATGTATACGACTGGGTGGTACAGGGTGTCGGATGTATACGGCTGGGCGTACAGGGTGTCGGATGTATACGACTGGGTGGTACAGGGTGTCGGATGTATACGGCTGGTCGTACAGGGTGTCGGATGTATACGACTGGGTGGTACAGGGTGTCGGATGTATACGACTGGGCGTACAGGGTCGGAACAGGGTGACTCACATATACGGCTGGGCGGTACAAGTTGTCGGATATATACGACTGGTCGGCACAGGGTATTGGATGTACTTTTGTACTTATTACTTTTGTTTTTCTCACAACTACATATATGTGCTCTTTCCCTCATTGCCTTCAACAGAACTACACCACCTACCTAGAGTACACCACCTCCCGCCATCAACCACCACATCTACACCACCTCCTATCATCAGCCACCACGAGTACACCACCTCCCGCCATCAGCCACAACGAGTACACCACAACCTGCCATCAACCACCACATCTACACCACCACCCGCCATCAACCACCACCACATCACAACCTCTTCCATCAACTACCACATCTACACCACCTCCCGCAAAAAACCACCACGAGAACACCATCTCCTGCCATCAACCACCACGAGTACACCACCTCCTGCAATCAAGCACCACATCTACACCACCTCCTGCCATCAACCACCACAACATCACAACCTCCTGCCATCAACTACCACATCTACACCACCTCCCGCCATCAACAACCACATCTACACCACCTCCCACCATCAACCACCACAACATCACAACCTCCTGCCATCAACCGCCACATCTACACCACCTCCCGCCACCAACCACCACGAGAACACCACCTCCTGCCATCAGCCACCACGAGTACACCACCTCCTGCCATCAACCGCCATGAGGGAAAAACACCTCCTGCCATCGTCCATCACATCTACACCACCTCCCGCCATCAACCACCACAACTACACCACCTCCTGCCATCAGCCACCACGAATACACCACCTCCCACCATCAGCCACCCCGAGTACACAACCTCCCGCAATCAACCACCACAACTACACCACCTCCTGCAGTCAACCACCACATCTACACCATCACCCATCACCTCCTGCCATCAGCCACCACGAGTACACCACCTCCTGCCATCAACCACCACATCTACACCACCTCCGGCCATCAACCATCACAACTACACCACCTCCTGCCATCAACCACCACAATTACACCACCTCCTGCCATCGGCCACCACGAGTTCACCACCTCCTGCCATAAGCCACCACGAGTACACCACCTCCCGCCATCAATCACTTTATCTACACCACCTCCCGACATCAACCACCACGAGTACACCACATCCCGCTATCACCCTTCACGAGTATACCAGCTCCCGCCATCAACCACCACATCTACACCATTTCCTCCCATCAACCACCACGAGTACACCACTTCCTGCCATGAACCACCACATCTACACCACCTCCTGCCATCAACTACCAACATCTACACCACCTCCCGCAATCAACCACCACATCTACACCACCTCCCACCATCAAAGACCACAACTACACCACCTCCCGCCATCAACTACCACATCTACACCACCTCCCGCCATCAACCACCACAACTACACCACCTCCTGCCATCAGCCACCACATCTACACCACCTCCCGTCATCAGCCACCACGAGTACACAACCTCCCGCCATCAGCCACCACGAGTACACGCCACCCGCCATCAACCATCACGAGTACACAACCTCCTGCCATCAACCACCACGAGTACACCACCTCCTGCCATCAACCACCACATCTACACCACCTCCCGCCATCAACCACCACAACTACACCACCTCCCGTCATCAGCCACCACGAGTACACCACCTCCTGCCATCAGCCACCACGAGTACACCACCACCCGCCATCAACCACCACAACATCACAACCTCCTGCCATCAACTACCACATCTCAGCACCTCCCGCCATCAACCACCACGAGTACACCACCTCCTGCCATCAGCCACCACGAGTACACCACCTCCTGCCATCAACCACCACAACATCACAACCTCCTGCTATCAACTACTATAACTCAGCACCTCCCGCCATCAACCACCTTATCTACACCCCCTCCCGACATCAACCACAACGGGTACACCACCTCCCGCCATCGACCACCACAACTACACCCCCTCCTGCCATCAGCCACCACGAGTTCACCCCCTACTGCCATCAGCCACCACGAGTACACCACCTCCTGCCATCAGCCACCACGAGTACACCATCTCCCGCCATCAATCACTTTATCTACACCACCTCCCGACATCCACCCCCACGAGTACACCACCTCCCGACATCAACCACCACGAGTACACCATCTCCCGCCATCAATCACTTGATCTACACCACCTCCCGACATCCACCCCCACGAGTACACCACCTCCCGACATCAACCACCACGAGTACACCAGCTCCCGACATCAGCCCTCACGAGTATACCACCTCCTGACATCAACCACCATGAGTACACCACCACCTGCCATCAGCAACCACATCTACACCACCTCCCGCCATCAGCCACCATGGGTACACCACCTCCCGCCATCGACAACCACATCTACAACACCTCCCACCATCAACCACCACAACTACACCATCTCCCGCCGTCAACCACCACATCTACACCTTCACCCGCCATCAACCTCCACAACTACACCACCTCCTGCCATCAACCACCACATCTACACCACCTCCGCCGATCAGCCACCACAGTACTCAACCTCCCGCCATCAACCATCGAAACTAAACCACCTCCCGTCGTCAACCACCACAACTACACCACCTCCTGCCATCAACCACCACATCTACACCACCTCCCGACATCAACCACCAGGGCCCCGTTCCACAAAGCGATCGTAGCGCTAAGATGATCGTAACTCCCATACTTTAACATAGACTTAAGACATACTTAGCGCTAAGATCGCTTTGTGAAACGGGGCCCTGATCTATACCACCTCCCGGCATCAACCATCACATCTACACCACCTCCCGCCATCAACCACCACATCTACATCACCTCCCGCCATCAGACACCACAACATCTACACCACCTCCTGCCATCAACCACCACAACTACACCACCTCCCGCCATCAGCCTCCACGAGTACATCACCTCCCGCCATCAGACACCACGAGTACACCACATCCTGCAGTCAGCCACCACGAGTACACCACCTCCTGCCATCAGACACCACGAGTACACCACATCCTGCAGTCAGCCACCACATCTACACCACCTCCTGAAGTCAGCCACCACGAGAAGACCACATCCTGCAGTCAGCCACCACGAGAAGACCACATCCTGCAGTCAGCCACCACGAGTACACCAAATCCTGCCACCAGCCACCACCAGTACACCACATCCTGCCATCAGCCACCACGTGTACACCACCTCCTGCCATCAGCCACCACGAGTAGACCACATCCTGCCATCAGACACCACATCTACACCACCTCCCGCCATCAGCCACCACAGTACTCAACCTCGTGCCATCAACCGTCGAAACTACACCACCTCCCGCCGTCAACCACTACATCTACACCACCAACCGCCATGAACCATCACGAGTACACCACCTCCTGCCATCAGCCAGCAAGATTACATCACCTCCTGCCATCAGCCACCACGAGTACACCACCTCCTGCCATCAACCACCACATCGACACCACCTCCCGACATCAACCTCAAGATCTACACCACCTCCCGGCATCAACCGCCACATCTACAACACCTCCTGCTATCAACCGCCACATCTACACCACCTCCTGCCATCAACCACCACAACTACACCACCTCCCGCCATCAGCCACCACGAGTACATCACCTCCCGCCATCAGCCAACCAGGAATACACAACCTCCCGCCATCAACCACCACATCTACACCACCTCCCACCATCAACCACCACATCTACACCACCTTCCGCCATCAACCACCACATCTACACCACCTCCCGCCATCAACCACCACAACTACACCACCTCCCGCCATCAACCACCACGAGTACATCACCTCCCGCCATCAGCCCCCAGGAATACACAACCTCCCGCCATCAACCACCACATCTACACCACCTCCCGCGGTCAACCACCACATCTACACCCCCTCCGGCCATCAACCGGCACATCTACAACACCTCCTGCCATCAGCCACCACATCTACACCACCTCCCGCCATCAGCCACCACGAGTACATCACCTCCCGTCATCAGCCACCACAACATCTACACCATCTCCCGCCATCAACCATCACATCTACACCACCTCCCGCGGTCAACCACCACATCTACATTACCTCCCGCCATCAGACACCACAACATCTACACCACCTCCCGCCATCAACCACCACATCTACACCACCTCCCGCCATCAGCCTCCACGAGTACATCACCTCCCGCCATCAGCCACCACATCAACATCACCTCCTGCCATCAACCACCACGAGTACACCACCTCCTGCCATCAACCACCACATCTACACCACCTCCCGACATCAACCACCACATGTACACCACCTCCCGACATCAACCATCACATCTACACCACCTCCCGCAATCAACTACCACATCTAAACCACCTCCCGCCATCAACTACCACATCTAAACCACCTCCTGCCATCAACCACCACGAGTACAGCACCTCCTGCCATCAACAACCACATCTACACCACCTCCCGCCATCAACCACCACGAGTACACAACCTCCTGCCATCAGCCACCACGAGTACACCACCTGCCGCCATTAGCCACCACGAGTGCACCACCTCCGGCCATCAACCGCCACGAGTACACCACCTCCCGCCATCAACCACCACAACATAACAACCTCCTGTCATCAACTACCACATCTCAGCACCTCCCGCCAACAACCACCTTATCTACACCCCCTCCCGCCATCAACCACCACGGGAACACCACCTCCCGCCATCGACCACCACATCTACACCACCTCCCACTATCAACCACCACAACTACACCACCTCCTGCCACCAGCCACCATCAGTTCACCACCTCCTGCCATCAGCCACCACGAGTACACCACCTCCCGCCATCAATCACTTTATCTACACCACCTCCCGACATCAACCACCACGAGTACACCACCTCCCGCCATCAGCCTTCACGAGTATACCACCTCCCGCCATCAACCACCACATCCACACCACCTCCCGCCATCAACCACCACATCTACACCACCTCCTGCCATCAACCACCACATCTACACCACCTCCTGCCATCAGCCTCCACATCTACACCACCTCCCGCCATCAGCCACCACGAGTACATCACCTCCCTGCCATCAGCCACCACGAGTACATCACCTCCCGCCATCAGCCACCACAACATCTACACCACCTCCCGCCATCAACCACCACATCCACACCACCTCCCGCCATCAACCACCACATCTACATCACCTCCCGCCATCAGACACCACAACATCTACACCACCACCCGCCATCAACCACCACATCTACACCACCTCCCGCCATCAGCCACCACAAGTACATCATCTCCCGCCATCAGCCACCACAAGTACATCACCTCCCGCCATCAGCCACCACGAGTACACCACCTCCCGACATCAACCAACACATCTACACCACCTCCCGCCATCAACCGCTACATCTACACAACCTCCTGCCATCAACCACCGCATCTACACCACCTCTCGCCATCAACCACCACATCTACACAACCTCCTGCCATCAGCCACCACATCTACATCACCTCCTGCCATCAGCCACCACATCAACATCATCTCCTACCATCAACCACCACGAGTACACCACCTCCTGCCATCAACCACCACATCTACACCACCTCCCGACATCAACCACCACATCCTCACCACCTCCCGCCATCAGCCACCACATCTACATCACCTCCTGCCATCAGCCACCACATCAACATCATCTCCTGCCATCAACAACCACGAGTACACCACCTCCTGCCATCAACCACCACATCTACACCACCTCCCGACATCAACCACCACATCTTCACCACCTCCCGCCATCAACCACCACATCTACATCACCTCCTGCCATCAGCCTCCACGAGTACACCACCTCCCGCCATCACTCACCACGAGTACACCACCTTCCGCCATCAGGCTCCACGAGTACACCACCTCCCGCCATCAGCATACCACGAGTACACCACCTCCTGCCATCAACCACCACATCTACACCACCTCCCGACATCAGTCACCACGAGTACACCACCTCCCGCCTTCAGCCACCACATCTACACCACCTTCCGCCATCAGCCATCACTAGTACACCACCTCTCGACATCAACCACTTTATCTACACCACCTCCCGCCATCAGCCTCCACGAGTACACCACCTCCCGCCATCAGCCAGCATGAGTACACAACCTCCCAACATCAACCACTTTATCTACACCACCTCCCGCCATCAACCACCACATCTACATCACCTCCCGCCATCAGACACCACAACATCTACACCACCACCCGCCATCAACCACCACATCTACACCACCTCCCGCCATCAGCCACCACGAGTACATCACCTCCCGCCATCAGCCACCACGAGTACATCACCTCCTGCCATCAGGCTCCACGAGTACACCACCTCCCGCCATCAGCATACCACGAGTACACCACCTCCTGCCATCAACCACCACATCTACACCACCTCCCGACATCAGTCACCACGAGTACACCACCTCCCGCCTTCAGCCACCACATCTACACCACCTTCCGCCATCAGCCATCACTAGTACACCACCTCTCGACATCAACCACTTTATCTACACCACCTCCCGCCATCAGCCTCCACGAGTACACCACCTCCCGCCATCAGCTAGCATGAGTACACAACCTCCCAACATCAACCACTTTATCTACACCGCCTCCCGCCACAACCACCACGAATACACCACCTCCCGCCATCAGCCACCACATCTACACCACCTTACGCCATCAGCCATCACTAGTACACCACCTCCCGCCATCAACCACAACGATTGCACCACCTCCCGCCATCAGCCACCACGAGTACACCACCACCTGCCATCAGCCATTATGAGTACACAACCTCCCACCATCAACCACCACGAGTACACCACCTCCTGCCATCAACCACTACATCTACACCACCTCCCGACATCAACCACCACATCTTCACCACCTCCCGCCATCAACCACCACATCTACATCACCTCCTGCCATCAGCCTCCACGAGTACAACACCTCCCGCCATCACTCACCACGAGTACACCACCTTCCGCCATCAGGCTCCACGAGTACACCACCTCCCGCCATCAGCATACCACATCTACACCACCTCCCGCCAACAGCCACCACATCTTCACCACCTCCCGCCATCAACTACAACATCTACACCACCTCCCACCATCCACCACCACATCTACACCACCTCCTGCCATCAACCACCACATCTACACCACCTCCCGCCATCAACTACAACTACACCACCTCCCGCAGTCAACCACCATATCTACACCACCTGCTGCCATCATCCACCGCCTATCATCATTCCCTATCACTGTACACCACCGATCACACCAATATTCGACTACATATCTGACGTGTGCCTATAAAACATGGAATTTGACCCCCTGACGTGACGTGACTGGCCAATACACCACTGTAGGAAAGGCCTTGTCGTGATCAAAATGCTGGTTGAGACCTGACACGCTGTCATTTGGAAGTATTTTCCAGGCGCTTCAAATGTCATTGTCGGCGCTCGAGTCGATGCCTCTTGTTTCCTGTTCGTCCCGAGCGTCTGAGCAATCTATTTCACTATGGCAGGCATTAAGCATATAGACATACAGACGTACATAGTCGTGACAGACCACTAGACAAATGTAGAATAGACGTGTATAGTCGTTACAAACCACAGGTGTATATATATAATAAGAAATAAACGGTGAGTGGGAGTTAATCGTACAATAAAACACTGCAGGAAGCATATAAACCATTCTACATCTGTCTGTATACTAGTGGTCTAGTGGTACATTTATTTTTCATAAACCAATTATGTCAACATGAATTGCTGTGTGTTAATAACATAGCTACCCTTAATAGTATTACATATAGAAGGTTTTAGCGTTCGGAATAATGGGATTGTGTTTCATTTGCCGTTCCGTATGTGATTTCAGATATTACTAAAAAGACGTTTGAAAGTTTATTGAGGTAAAACATTATTTACCCAAAAAAGTCATATTTGATCTGTCATCCGCTTTTATTGCAACAAAAGCATCAGGGGTGAGACAAAACAGCATGAGTACGTTGAGGAAGTGTATAAGCGAAAGATCGCATATTTCTCTTGACGAATCTTCAAGTCATTATTGGTTATCTTAATCAGTCTGTTGATAAAGCATTAATTACACATCTATTTATAGCATGGCTTCTCGTGTACGTCTTGAATTGTCTCAAGATATCAATAATGTAATAACCTTAGGTGATCATTAAGTTTGTCTTTCGTACATGTAGCTTTGATTTCTAATAATTTGTACAATAGATTCCTATATTACGAGGGGGCACGGGTGGCCCAGTCGTCTAAAGCGCCGCGATTCGCTGTGCAGAGTTGCTTCCCTTGGGCACGCCAGAAACCTATGATTGTGGGTTCGAATCCCGGTTCGCTCCGATTATGTTTCTAGGTTTGTCAGCATCATACCCGTGCTCGTGGGTTTCACCGAAGTGGTAAACGTCTAAGACCTGCATCACTTCGGGCTTTCCTCCCACATTAAGCTGACACGCCTTATATAACTGGAATACTGTTAAAAGCAGCGTTAAACCCAACTCACTCACTCCTATATTACGTTAATCATTACCAGATTTAACTCAAGAGTTAATTTTCGGCAAGTTTATATCTGTTTAGTTGGTTAAATAAATCAAAGTTACAAAACTATGCTGAAACCTTAGCCCCAAACTGAAGACTTTAAAAATATATATTTTCATTTTTGTTGTCTTAAAACGTAAGATGCCAACTCGTGTCATTCCGGGTCAAACCGAATGGCGACTCGTGCGTACGGAGATAAAAAAAATCCACCAGTTAACTGGTTGTACCACACCCACCATTGCTTCCACGTGGAAAATATTCTTAATATAACACAGTTGCCACTTGCTTGTCAGTGTGGTGAAACAGCTCATTTTGTATGTTTTAGATACATATACCTATAAAGAAACACATTAAGGAGGAATTATACGACCAACATACGTGCACATTGCGTTTCACACTTTGATCGATAGGCGTTGGGATGAGTCTCCTTGCAGATTACGGAAGAGACGAGTGGTGACAAATAGCACGCTCCATGTTGCAGTTATCTCCCTTTCATAGTCAAATTGAGCGATATCTTCACAGCAGCACGCCCAGATTTGCAGGACGGAAGTCGCAGGTTAACATCGCAAGGTAACAAACGTGCTTAGACTATCTGGACACGTTTACTTGTGATACCTTCAATTGGAGTGACAACAACATCTAAGTACAACATGCACGCATAACACGACCGACATGTGGCTGCGTGGTATCCTCGACACGCTTCTGTGCACGCATCCAAGATGATTCATTCAATGAGCACTCCCGAGTTTATACTCAGTCGTAGTTTGTTGAACAAGATTGTCTAGTAGGCCTCATTTGGAATTTTGAACCGCCTCCGTGGTCTAGTGGTAGAGCGTCCGACCGGAGAGCGGAAGGTCAGGGGTCCGATCCCCGGCCCGCCCTTTTGCGCAATGATGTAACCAAGTTGATAAATTGGCCTCATGAGGGAATGCATTATAAACAGCTGATAAATGATTTCTTCATCGGCGTGTACAAAGTGTGCAGGTGTACGAGTAAGTGAGTGTGTAGCCTGGCTGGTTGTGTATGATTGTACGACTACCAAGTGGATCTTGGCTGTCATATCAACCACTGATTTGCCCGGATTAGACTCGATTAGAAGTACTTCACAAACCGCCTCAATATGGTTAGAATATTGTTGACTGTTGCGTCACTGAGTACACACTCACGCTGATACAGAGCTACGAATCCATCTTCTAGTGATCTTCCTTAATAGAATTCACCATTAAATAATTCAAGTCAAGACAGCGTTGCTATTTGAAGAATACATGTACATTATATCAATGAACCGCAAGTCTCGTTGACTTGTTTGTGCTTTCTTGTACATAAGTTTCAGCATATTTTTTTATTCGAAATTATTTTGGAGAACTTATAAAGGTCCATGTATATATATTCATCGGCGACTCAAGATATACAGAAATCAATATCGTATTGATCACTGTTATTGGTGGGTTCATCAAATCTGTTAAACTCTTTCTTCAAATGTCCAAACCAACAGTGTGTATAAAACTGAAGCTCCGTGATACATAACATAACAAGTCCATTTATACTGCGCCAGATTGCATTCACCAAGTTAATGCTCATGTTACTACATAGTTTTAGCAAATAATGCTAATGAAAGGGGAGTAGAGTTGATAGAACTGTCTGAAAAGGTGTGTTTTCCGATGAGCTTTAAAGGATGGAAGCGATGGCGACAGCTTAAGATCGGATGGTAGTTTGTTCCATAGCGAGGAAGCGCAGAACTTGGAAGATCTCTGACCAATGGTTTTGAGACGGGTATCTGGGACTTGTAACAGGTGGTTATTCTGAGAACGAAGAGATCTGGAAGACTTGTATTTAGGCAGTGGTTCGGTGAGATATAATGGGGCTGTTTCCATGTAGCATTTATAGGCCAGGGTTAGAATTTCGAATTCAATTCTGGCTTTAAGAGGTAACCAGTGCAGCGACATCAGAGCAGGTGTTACTGGAGTCCATTTTGATGTCCTCGTGACGATACGTAATGCTGTATTTTGTACACGTTGGAGCCTGTGGAATTGATCATTTGTGATGTTACTCATGAGACTGTTGCAATAGTCAAGCCGTGATATAACTAAAGATCTAGCCAAAGTGTGTGCAGCTTCTTTTGTGAGTAGATGTCGAACACTTCCGATGTTTCGGAGATGAAAGAAGCAGGACTTACACGGCTTACATGTTGTTCCATAGTTAGTCAACTGTCCAGATAAACGCCAAGAATTTTCACTGATTTTGAGAATTCGATATTGGAATCACCAACTAGAATCTTGTTTACTCTCATTTTCTCAAGATTTGTTCGGGTACCAATCAATAAAGCCTCTGTCTTGTTGTCTTTCAGTTTGTTCTCAGTCATCCACGACTTGATGGCTCTGGTGCAATCTTCGACTTTTTAAAGCTCTGTTTCAGTTTCAGATGGCATGAAAGTCTTCATTAGTTGCGTATCATCGGCATAGCAATGATAGTTCAGTAGCCGCTTAGAGATGATATGACCCAAACTTTTAGTGTACAGTGTGAAAAGAATGGGGCCCAGAACTGACCCTTGGTGAACCCCACAAGAGAGAACAAAACTATCTGATGTTGCTTCATTGACAGCGACTGACTGACACCGTCCATCTAAGAATGGTGTAAACCATTTGAGAGCATTTCCTTCTAGTCCTATCTGATGGTGTAAACAGTCCAAACGCTTATTGCGGTCTATGGTATCAAATGCTGCAGACAGATCAAGTAGACCAAGCAAGCTTACGTTACCTATGTCTGCAGATGTAAGGATTTCATTTAAGACTCGGAAGTAATGCAGTCTCTGTGCTGTGATTAGCTCTATGTGCGGATTGGAATTTGTCCACTAGGTTATGGGCATGAAGGTGTTCGGACAGTCGAATTTTTACCGCTTTCTCAAGCACTTTC